TATTTGGACTCCTCAATCGTTTATCCACATTTTTCGCCGATTCGTATAAAAGAATGAATGTATGGATTGAAACTTTAAAGAAATCTAACACAAATACTGGAGTAAAAAAACTAAGAAAGCTCCAGAAAATAGGGGAAACAAGATGGTGGTCAAGAGAGAAAGCCTTAAAATGGGTGTTTGGTGGTGACGATTGTCTTTTCGCTACAGTTCTTTCTGGTTTAGACTTTGTATCTATTTCAAATACATTTGATCCAAAAACATCTTCTGAAGCTGCATCATTAAGAGATAAGCTTTGCGATTTTAATATCATCTTAACGGCTCATTTATTTTTAGAAATATTTAAAATTGTTGAACCAACATCAAAATATTTACAAACAAGCAATTTGGATATGCTAGCTGCTTGGGAAATGGTGGAAAATTCTAAAGAAATGATTGGAAAAATAAAGTTTTCCTTGGTCTTTTCTAATGCAAAAAAATTTTCTTTTTCTATGAATAACGTACTTTCAGAAACAGATATTTCAGAAACTGTGATTGTACAAAGTGAACTGCCTCAACCACGAATACGCAAAAAGAAGAAAAACTTTGATGAAAATTGTGCTGATGAATTAACAAATGCAAATGTCGTAGATAAATTTCGTATAGAAATGTTTCAATGTGTTGTTGATCAACTAATTAGCAGCTTGACAAATCGTTTTTCAACTAATACGCACATTATAGCAGATATCCAATACCTAATTCCAAAAAAATTTAAAAATCAGCTCTATCCGGAATATTGTTTAAGCACTTTATCTGATTTGGTTGGTATCGACCGCCAGACATTAATTTCTGAACTACAATCATTTTCAAATGTCTATGAAAATATTGTAGGCTCGTTAAATAAAAGAACAAAAACCATTTATAAAAGACTTGAAGTTAGTAGTAAAAGTGATGACGATAATATTGACGATCTTCAATCTGATGAAGATGATTTTGATTTTAATATGAGTGCGGACTATGACTATGACATGAACGATCAAAACAATAGTAAACAAACTCAAACAATATCAAAGGGTAAGTATATATCGCACATACATTAACGATTCTTATAAAATATACAATAATACCTTTTGGCTATTTGTATATTAAAATGTAATGCAATAATTGTATTAAATTATATTTATTTCAGGATGTAATAAAAAAGAAAACGTCCATCACAATGAAGATCGTTGTTTAATATGTGTCTATAAGCTACTCAATTCTTTAAATATGCACTCTTCTACATTCAGTAACTTATACTCAGTGTATGAATACATTTTAACATTGTCATGCACTCAGGTAAAATGCGAGAGGTCTTTTAGCAAATTAAAAATAATTAAAAATAGACTGAGATCATCTTTGGGGCAGGATCATTTAGAAATATTTATGTTGATGTCTATTGAGCGAGACATTTTGGAGAATGTAGAATTTTCAGATATTCTCGAATATGTAAAAGGTACTTCAGATTTAATGAAAAAAATGCTTACCTAAATAATGATGCTTGATAATTTTTATAATATAAAATTAATTTCTGCGTACAAATCTGGTTATATTTTTTCTGTATACTACATTGATAAATTGGTCAAAATGGTTTTATTGAAGAAAAGATTGGTCGTTTTTAAGATTCAATACACCTATCCTAATTTACAGAACAAAGGCAAGGTAACCTCGAGTTCTACTATCTTTTTTATTTTGCTTCAATTTGAATCAATATGTAACTATTATTTATGTATTTAGTGCAATTACTGTTATAATCGCAATAAGGTAAGTATTTAGTATATTTTAAGAGGTCCTACAGGCTACTAGACGAACAAGTAGGTATATATTATATATAATATATTTGATAAACAACCCGAGAAAGTAGGTAGGTATTCATAGAGAATTGTACGGGTTGGGCCGGCCGTTTATTGTTGTAGAATACTGGGCCGCTTACCTCCCAGTCCGCCCCTGATATCTATACTCCTTGAATAATAATATTTATTTAGCGACTTGCTGAGGCATATTATCTAATATCTATTTTCTATAATATTTAAAATGATCCGTTAGCTAATCAAGCGTTGTCATTTCATTTGTTTTCTTTTTTCCATAAAGTTCTACAATATAAGTTATTTTTCAAAAATAGGCTCATACAATAATTTAATGTGTGGTTACTTCAGTGGCCTTTGATTATTGAGACTAAGGGTTTCATGTATGTAACAATGCAGGTTGTAACTTTTCACAATATCATTTGAGTGAAGTGAATGTATAAAGAAAATCAGATAGTATGTGTGTAACTCAGTTGATCATTTTATGCAGACAGCAGACTACCTTCTTCCAAATGATGTTTACAGTTTTATCGGTAAGTAAACTGTTTAACTCAAGTATTAAGTAGGCATTAGAAAATATATGTATTATAGAATTATAATAAATTTTCTTTTTATTTTAGTTGAATGTAATGGACAACAATGAAGTATAAGTACCTACATTAACAAAAATAGGTACCTACTAAAATAAATTAAAATAACAACACAATAATAAATTATAGATAACTATTGATATTTTAATAAATGTTCAAAATGATTACCATCCATATCCAAACAAAGAGATAACCGTTTAGTCACTTCACTAGTTGTAGCTTTTTTTTAATACTGATGAAGGTATTTTATTACATATTTCAACAATCCTATTTTTCAAATCATTGATATTATTTGACTCCTCTTTATAAACTTCGCCTTTTAAAAATCCCCAAAAATAAAAATCGAGAACATTCATATCTGGAGAACGTGGTGGCCAAAGAATTGTTGAGCCTTGAGTTCCTATCCATTTACCACTAAAAATATCATTTAATAAAGCACGTACAGCTAACATATGAGCTGGTGCACCATCATGTTGCCAAATCATATTAAGGCGTTGATCTAATGAAATATCTTCAATTAACAATGGCAGTTCGTTTTTTAAAAAATTAAGATAACTGTTTCCATTTAAATTATTTTCAAAAAAATACGGACCTATCAATCCATCATTAATTATGCCACACCATACATTTATACCCCATCTAATTTGTTTATTACATTCATTAATCCAGTGAGGATTTGTATCGCTCCAATAGTGAGTATTGTGGTGGTTTACGGTTCCATTATTATGGAACCTTGCCTCATCAGTCCATAAAATTTTTTCCAAAATAGTGGGATCATCTTCTAGCTGAACCATCATATGAGCAACAAAAGTAATACGACGTTCATAATCTGTTGGCTGGAGTTGCTGAACACGAGTCGATAAGTAAGCATGATATTTATACTTTTTAGAAATTCTTTGAACAGCAGAATATGATAAATTTAAATCTTCTAAAAAAATATAAAATTATTGAAAATGTATATTATATTATATTATTGTTTATTAAAATTTATTTATTTTTTAGGTTTACTTGCTACAACTCTTAATGATATATGCGGGTTTTCAATCAATTTGCCTAATACTTCCAATGAATTATCATCAGTTGTCACAGTATTTCGTCTTTTTTTTTTTGCCATAAATGTACCATTCATACTGAGTTGTTTATTAATTCTATAAAACATTGAATGACCTGGACACTGGCGATCAGCATAACGCTGCTGATACAACCTATAAATGCATATTATACTTATTTTTCTCATTATACTGTATTTAATTTTATAAGAAGTACATAATTTGTATGTAAAATATAAGTGTGAAAACCATAATGAAGTTTTTTTTATATAACTTGGAAAATGAGTTGCCTATCTATTTGTATGTTGTAAATTTTAGATTTTTCATTTAACTTACCTGATTTTTTTTATTCTTAAAAAAGTTTAATTGGTGTTTGCACCAAGATCAAAATCTTTACGATTTGCAACAGCTAGTCATGCTTTGATTACTGTTATAAATCTATGTTTTTTTTTAGTTTTTGTGAATAATGGATCAAATACGTTATTTAACGCAACATCTCTGCTCCACCACCTAGTTTGTCCTATTTTTTGAAGGGGTAACATTTTTTCACTTCCAACAGAATTTTTAATAACATTTTGTTTCCACATTCCCATTCTTTTATATGGTTGACTAAAAAATACAGCCAAACGATCTAGTAATCCAAAAAGATTTATAACTTCTGAACCCGAATCAGAAGCTTGTGTAAGTGGAGGATTTAAAAGATGACTAAATCAATGTGTGTGAATAGATTGAGGTGAATCTTTTTTAATGAGAGCTTGTAAACCATTGTGAATACCACTTAAATTCGCGGCGCCATCATACGCCTGACTTACTATATTAGACAGAGATAACCTAATATCTTCTAAAACATTTTTAATTAAGTTATATAAATCGATTGCCTTTGATGATTGTACTGGTAATAACTTAATTAACCGTTCTTTTACTTCAGTTTGAATCACATAACGGACACATACAGACAATTGATCGGTTACATTTATATCCTGGGTGGAATCTATGAGTAAACTAAAAAATTCTGATTGTTTTCTTCTTTTCCGATTTCCTCTTGTATCCACTGTGAAATTAATTTGATTGTTTTATTAACCGTAGTTTTCAAAAGAAATGTAACAAGTCATCCACGTCCAAGTCCTCCACTTAAAGTTGAACGGTTTTTACTTTTTTCAATTGCAATATTTAGATACTTTTGAAGAATTGGGTCAAATTTAGACCAACACATCAATAACTCCAAAAAGTTTCCGTGGTTCATACTTCTATTGTCTAGTGTGTATGCCTTTTCTCCTTTATGAGCTCTATAAGCAATACCTTGTCTGCCAATATAAATAATTCCTTCAATTATTCTTGACAGGAAAAGTCTATGTTCTTGAACTTGAATTACTCGACAATTTCGTTGATTTATATCAATAAGAGACGAAACGTCTTTAACTTTTTTTGCTTGCATATAAGCTTAAACAGCTTCATCGTGTGTTTTAGAATTTTCATGTACTTTAATTTGTTTATAAATATTTTTAGCGCTTACTTGTACACCTTATACAAATATGGTTTCTTTATTTAACGGCACAAGAAAGCTTTTCATTTTTCCTATAAAATAATAACCAATTTCTAGGAATTTGAGTGTTATCAGTATTAGATAATGGACGAAAATATATTTTATATGCGTTAAATGGTAGTTGATCATACTGTGGCTGTATGGGATGATTTGACATAAAACGTAGTTTTTCAGCCAACGAAGAATTATGAGAAAGTGCTTTGAAATAGTTTGAAGGTATGTATATGAGAAAGTTATCATCTAAGTCTGATTCCGAATGCTGTGCTACTTTATCTTCATGTAGAGAATCATTGGGAACAATATCATTTCCAAAATCAACTATATTACTTTTATCAAATTCAATTGATGAAGGATTGGAAGGCTGTATATTAACGTTAAGATCTTGTGTAGATTCATTATTTGAGCATTTCATGTCAAGCATTTCATCTTTGGGGATATTAATTATGTTAGTAAGTTTTATAATATTACTACACGATGGTTCAGAAATTGATGGTTGCATATTTACTATTGAATTTTGAGTTGAGTCATTATTATTAATTGATGGTACTGGGTCAAAATTCAATAAAACTTCAATAGATGGTCGCGTTCTAGGTATAAATCCAAAATTTAATTTTTGTTAATTTTTTTCGTGAGCAATAGCTTTTAATTTTTGTCCATCAGTTTCTTTTTTTCTTGCCCATCCAGAACTACGTTTTAATTTAACAGGGTATTTATTACTATCGTCAATCGTCATCACTACTACGATTGTCCATTTTAAATTAAAGATATGTTAAGAATCTAAATCCCAAACAGTATTGAATTAATATATTTATATAAAAAATTAAAACAATTAATTTAAGCCATCGTTGTACTAATACTTAAATAAATTATTGATAGTAATATAAAAGACTAGAGTACTAGACTAAAATACCGTTTCCGCTAAAAATCACATTTTTAATGCAATTATAATATACCATTGAATTCAAATTGAGCACAATATACAATATTATAGCAGTGTTTAGAAGGTTCAATAAAACAGTGAACGCGTTCATGGTTAGTTCACGCAAAATTAAACGCGTTCTTTCAAACACTGCATAATAATATTTATAGTCACCCACTTGACATTTTATATACAGTAGTACCACTTGCGACTAGCCCGCATTTTAATGTATAAAATAATAATTAGTAATAAAATATTATAATTTACAAATTATAAATTGAATATTAAGATAAATTCAGTTTTTAAATTGTTTGTTATTATTTAACAAAATCCAATAATTGTGCTTAAGTCTAAAGAAATTAAGCAATGAAAAAATTAACATTTATTTTATATTTTTCAGTTTTTATAGTCTATACCTAGCAATATAATTCCAGTTGTCTCGCAGTTATTAAGCTTTCGTGAAGGACCCCATGCATGACCGTAATACGTTTTTTTAAATATTATGTCGTATGAATTCAATAATTATTTAGAGAAATTTATTTTATTTCTATTTTTTTTTTTGTATAATATGTAATGACTTGGTACGAATTAGTTATGAATTATGATTAATGTTTAGACCAGGGATTCCCAACCTTTTTTACCTAACGACGCTTTTACGTATGTCCCTTCAGGGATCCAAAAGCTGTTGCACTTTTACAATAAAATGTAGTCAATTTAAATACAAATCAATTGTAATTTATTAAAACCAATAATAATTAATATAGTCGTGGTGAATTGCAGCGTCGTGAGTTGACTCGTTGTAGTAGTCGATAATCTCCATGTAATTATGTGTGATGGCTGGCGGCTAAGCGAGTCGTGTGTTGTTCACGTCTCTGGATACATCTACTCAGGCTGTCTCGCTATCCCCTTTATATATGGTGGCGGCGTCCTTTGAAAGCGGGTAGCGCGTGTCCTTGATATGATTCGGACCTCACGACTAAAAGTGGTATTCTAGTCGTAAACACTTTTGGGTGTGGTCGCATTCCTGGTGGTTTTTATGAGCAAATACATGATATTACGTAATCCCATTACAACGCACTCAGGGCCGGATTGGCCCATCGGGATACCGGGAAACTTCCCGGTGGGCCGGTATCCTTGAGGGCTGCTATGGACTCAAACAGTTTTTAATTTTGTTATAAATTGTCATGAATTTTTTTCACATTTTTCAATATTTATTATTTATTTATTTACTAGTTTATCACGTCTTTATCATAATTATTTTAATTTCTGACTTCTTATCACTTATTATCTCATATGATAATGCAATTATGATGGCCGTGTGCCCGCGTACATTTATTTCATAGAGTTATCAGTTATCACGTTACGGCCTGTTTTATCTATTCTGTGGTTTTATATTCAATAATCATACTAGGTACGAATGTACGATAGACGATAGTATAAATGTATGATTATAGTGTGATCTTTTTAGTATTTTATTTTTATAATAAAATAGTTATTTTTTTTTTTTTTGACTTTCCGTTATTGTACGTAATTTATTACCTAGTTATCATCTAAAGTTAAATTATGGATAAAAAAAAAGCTAAAGGAGGAGCTGAAAAAACTAGGGAAAAAAAAGATTAAAACTACAATATGAAGCAAGATCTTGTCATAGTATTCAAAATTTATTTACCAAAGCATCGAATGAACAAGAAAAAGAAGCTGTCAATTGTGACACAGATAATGCATTATTGAAAGTATAAATTGTATTATATTTATCTTTACTGGTAATATTACCAAAGGGGTTAATTCGTTTTCGCTTTTTGTCAGGAGCAAGAACATGACAATGAAGCAGTGAATCAAGATAATATATTATTAACTGATGTCAATAAGCCTTCTAATTGTGAAATTGGTATTACATCATTTTCAAAGGTATGCACATTGTGTAACACAATTTGTGTTCATATTAAAACCTCTAATATATGTGATAACAAATTATTTATTCGTATTTTTTGATGTATAAAGAAATAAGAAATAATAATTCACAGAATGCTTTATATGTGGAAGTCTTAATTTCACTACATGCTATTGAGGATTCAGTTCAGTTTACTCCAGATGTAAGATATAAAGCCACACATTTTAAGGAATCATTGTTAAAGTACTCAACATTATTGACTGCATTTTTGTACATGACAATATTTTAAATAACAACTCCACTTTCAAAATATTTGCAGACATCGGGTATGGATATTCAAAAAGCATACTTTATGGTTGAAAATACAGTAAAACAATTGAAATTATTAAGGAGAGATGAAGCTGGCCTAAAAAAGTGTGTTGATAATTTTATTGACTCAGCAAATATCAAATTGGGCGTAAAAACCAAGAAGAAAATAGTGATATTGACTTTATTATTGAAAGCAAATTACCCATATTAAGGTCAAGAAAAAAAAATGCAATTCGATGATAGATCAGAAGATGAGCCAATAATTGATCCATATAAGAAATTTGTTGTTGAAGTTTATAATGTTGTCATGGATGGTGTAATAAATAGTTTTGAAAAACGATTTTTGTCAAATTCAAAAATATATGCTGATTTATCTTGTCTATCTCCAAGCAACTTCAATGACATTAAAAATGGTCTTCCAACTGAAGCACTTGATGTTCTAGTCTCAAAATTAATAAAATTTGATTCAGAAGTTACTGCTGGATAAATTAAGGACAGAATTAATACACTTTTCTAATAACTGGGAGTCATTAAAAATAAATATTGCAGAGTCCTATACCTTGAATCACATTGATGATGAAGATAATGATGATAATGATGAAGACAATTTAAAGAAATACAATAATTGCACAACACTGTCGACCTGTAAGAATTGTGCTACCTGTTGTTATACACTTCTTATGAAATTTAATCTTTATAGTAATGCTTATAGCACATTGACTTTAGCTTACAAATTTTTACTCACTTTGCCAACGACACAAGTAAGATCATTTTTCCTGAAGGTTTAACTTAAAATATTATAAGAATATCCTTTTCTTTTTATAGGTAGCTTGTGAGAGATCATTCTCTATACTTAAATGTATTAAGACCAGATTGAGAAACACATTATCTGCTTCATATTTAGAAGATTTTATGCTAATGGCAGTAGAGAAAAAAATGTTAAATGATATTGACACAGAAAATATCATTAATAAGTTAAAAAAAAAAGTGCATTACTCAATAAAGAACTCTCATATTAAATTATTTTGCTATATTATGTATGTGCAAATTTTATTTTAATAAATATAAGTCAGTAAACAAAATTGTCATTTTTAAAACTTTATATTATGGGGGGGGGGGGGTTGAACTACCTATAAAAACACGAGTAATATTATGTATAACATTAGATATTATAGTATAGAGGGCCGGTCTCAATAATTTTCCGGGCCGAAAAATTCTGCCGATCCGTCCCTGGACGCACTTGATCATTTTAAACATTTTCACGGCACACAAATAAAAAATAATGAATATACATAATGCCATATTGATATATAATAAATTGTTTTTATTTATTATTTTAATGATACAAATTTAATGTGATATTTGAGACTGGTATTTTTTACATAATTCCTCTATTCGGGTTGAAACACGAAGACTCCCGAGTTTTATTGCCTAAGGCTACAACCGCGTACCTTCTATTAGCGCTGAGCGCTAGTCAAGAGACGCGGAGGCATCAGGCGCCGAGCCCGGTTTTACCCGAAGCCCGGCGACTGGCCGTCAGAGGTGGACGGCACACCGGCGGTGGCCGCTACCCGCCTACCGTT